CCTCCAGCTGTCTCTTCCTCTGGTGCTCTAGGATATCAGCATTAGGTTGTCTGTTCAGCTGGCTCTCCAGTTTCTCTCGGTCTTTCTCATCCCGCTCTCCTCCGCGCTCATCCCTGTTCCTTTTCACACGTACGCTGGACAGGTTCCGCTGAACGTAGCCATTCGTGCCACTGCCTCGCGGCGTGGTCAAACCGATACCATTATACATCTCTGCTCTGAGAGGCCAGACACAACATGAGAACTCATGAGTAAGCACTGAATTTAACAACTTTGCATATCACATTCCTACTTTTTAAGTGGCCGGGGAAAAAAGCAATTGCTACATAAATAATGTCAATAAATGAGTGCTCATATATATATGTGTATATATATATATATTATTTTTTTTTCCCCACACAAAACGGAACCTATTCAAAGAATGGTTCAAAAATGATTAACATTTTTACAGTTGTTTTCTGAGCTGTTCTGTCATTATTTCTTCATTGATATCACTATATATACACGACATTAAAAACAATAAATCATTTAAAATATGCTTGATAAAAATATTTGTTACAGTATTTAAAACATCAAATAGTGAAATTTATTTTCATTACAGTATTGTGGTTGTACAGTGGTGATACTTGGTGTATCAAATATAGTGGCGAATTTATGCAACCCTAAAATGCCCAGAATTGCAATTGAAAAAAAATCCAAATTACACCCCGATACAAATTTTGACTAAACGAAATTACTTTTATAACTAATGCCTTTCTAAAGACCTGTATGTTTTAAGTATATCTTTTAATGTGCTAAATCACTAACAACATTTGTCCAGAAATAGAAAGATTCAGCACTTTGTCTGACATAACCGGAAAAAAAAAAAAACACGAATACATTTTAAAGCAAGACAGCGTGGTATTATTATTCGCTGCAAGTCTAGGGCTGTTTAATAATTACAGAGGTCATTTACAGAAGCTGTGTTGTACACAATTGATCAAACATATGTTGAAACGTGCTCAAGTTATGAAAATGAATCCCACCAAGTTATTGGGGATCCCACAATCTATTAAAGGGGTCATATGATGCAATTTCAATTTTTCCTTTCTCTTTGGAGTGTTACAAGCTCACTCTAGCCCCGCAGTGTGTTTCGTTGTGAAACCAAAACTACTTTGTTTAGCCTTCCAAAAGAGAACACAACTAGAAAATCTGTGGTTAAATTGTATTTATAACACTGTTCCAGAACAGTTCAACCCAAATATTCAGATGTGTGCAGCACATTTTATGGAGGACCGTTTCCTGATCCTGCAAGAGTAGACTACAATGCCGGCTGTTCTGACTCACAGACTGTAAGTACGTTTTCATATTTAAAGGATTTGCCACTGATGATTCAAACGC